GCATCTGCTCGAGCCTCAGCCGTATAGGCCAGCCGGTCTCCTCGTGCTCGTCCTCCTCGTACGTCGACTCGTTGGTGGTCTTCTGAAGGTTCTGGAAGGCGTAGTTGGCGGGCATCAGCTTCCTGGGCTGCGAGAACGAGTCGTAGACGCGAACCGGACGAGCTAACGAGGACCTCTTCTTCGCCGGGGTCAAAGGCAGCGGTTGGTTCTTCAAGGACCTGGCCAGGTTGGTGCTTTTGAGGTTCTTCAGGGGTCTGCTCTCGTCCAGACGAGCCAAGGTCCGGGTGTTCTCCTTCAGTGACGAAGAACCGATGGGATTGGTCACCTGGTAATTGTTCATGCCGCTCTTTGCCAGTAGGTTGTTCTTGGTGCTTTTCACCAGCTTCATGTTGTTGTTGGTGCTGGTAGCGTTGTTGTTGTTGCTGCTGATCGGGACCACGTTGGTCACGTGACGACACTGCTCCGCGCATTGCAGGCAATCGTAGTACTTTTCGACCGCGTTCCGACGCGTCGAAGCGGCGAATCGCTCGCGGAAATTCGCGCGATTCTGACGCTCGCCTAACTGGCGAGGCTGTTGTCACACCTCTTGCAAGTATTTCAGCGGACACAAGGTTTCCTTGTACAGGACCTCGCCCTCTTTGCCTGTATGGTCTGCTGAGCGGACGTCCGCGGCGCAGCGGACCATCGCGACGCCATCTACCTCCTCGCCCACCTGGATCACGATCTGTCAGAAGAAAAGTAGTTGATGAGACCAGACGCAGTCGAAAAAGGGATACATACTGAATAAAATAAGCTACAGAAAGCTCCTGTACACTAGTGCAGTTCTTAAGACGACGTACCTGATCACGCAGTAGTGTGATCTGATCAGTCAGCTGAAGATTGCGAGTAACCTGAAGAGTCTTCTGGCCAGATTCCACTCGCATAACGTACGCGCTAGGGAAATAACCAACTCGACCACCCAGACACTTCCCTTTCCACCAGTCCTTCTCGGACTTATCGATCACCGTCACCTTGTAACCCGCCCTATAAAACAATTAGGCTATTATAAACACTGTAACAATACCAGCCAACAGAATCGAAGTTCATTCATGATTACTTCAGGTCTAACTCATCCCGGTGACGCGCTTCGAAGTTGTACAGCACCACGTAGAGATTGTTAGGTGGCAGGACACGTTTCCCTGGTGGGTTCATGTGGTTCTGGTTGTTGGTATGCGGGGAGGGGCAGGGAGAGGTGCTCGCCGATGAGTAGGACTTCTCGTTTTCGTCAGGCAATTCCATACTTGACATTCTGATGGCTCCACGTATGTGCTTGTGGACGGGGTGGCCTTGGCCTGGGCTGCATGGGGCTGCAATCGAAGTTTCAAATTAATAAATATCAAAATCCCTCGAGTCTTCAAATTTCCATATCTACAATTCCTAGGAGTCTCAAGTGAATTATTTGATGTCCACATCGTTGATGTCTCGTTAAGGTCTCTGATGTCCACCAGTTCCCACATTGTTCTATGTCCAAATCTCCACATCCCTGAATTTCTACATGTCTAAATCTTTAAATCTCCAAAGTATAATTACCTTAAGTCCCCAAATTATTAAATTTCTACTTTCGCAAATCTCTGAATCCCCAAACTTCTTCAGACTTACAAGCCCCTAGGACCTCCCTAGGCTAACCTTATACCCTAAATAAGAACTCAGTGGGTAAATTGAAAACGAAAGTGTTAAATAGAAAAAACTTACACAATCTATTGATGCTTCCGCTGTCAGAGTGTCTAGGTGGCGTGGACTCCCGTTGGCCAGTGGCATAGTAATCCCTAGGACGATGTCGGACATGCGCAGTACCCTCCGGTGAGTCCAGGCTGAGACTCTTCATCCTCAGATTCAGTCTCTCGCGTCTACGTTGCGGACTATGCGGCGCTTCATGTTCCATAATTTGTGATCAGAACAAGTTAGCCTTTGAAATTAGCTACCTCCTCGACGTTCACGCCATTTTCTCAAGCATTTCGTCACTTTGCACGCGGATAGGTTAGGTTGCGTAGGGTTACAGAACGACAGTCACAAATCTTGTTAGGAAGGTGTTGTTTTCTTGTTTATTCTGATCCTACCTGATATATATATATTTTTGCTCGATTACACAACGTGTTTCGTGTGAAAGTAGACTTTTATTTACGTTACAGAGAGGGAAGATAGAAAAGAGAGATCTCTACCAAGCGGTTAGAAGAGAATTTAATTCGTTTATCTAATTTAACATCGCAGAACTGGATGCAAACAACAATGTTTCACCGAAAGAGATAAAATGCATACATTCAAGAGAAGCGACAGTGAGATTATTTGACCAGAAAAAATAACGGAAATTTCGAAACGTAAAATCGAAGTCGTTAGAAACGAAAACAAGCCTTTTAAAGGAAATGAAACAACAGCATGGAAAATATAATCGGTTTTTATTTATTTATTTGGTTTATCTGTTGACGGAAACGACGGTATCGTTTTATTCGTTTCCGTTCGACGCGGAACATCGTTTGGCGTGAACGTTGAGGCTGAAATGAACACGTACAGCGATACAGGGACACCATAGAGATAACACCATGGATGCACACCAGGGAGCAGTTCTCCCATCGACAAATTCGACCAGTGTACAGAACGTCGTTCACAGAGAAAAAGAGAATTCACAGGAATATTTGAAACAGAAAAAAAAAGAGAAAAAAAAATGTGGGACACGACTCGCGTACAGAGAAGTGAAAGAGGAGTTTCCGGGAGAGAACACTTTTATTTACAATATTTACAGACATATCGCACTTTCCTTTCTTCCTTTCTCGTTTCTTCACGTTTTGTGAATTCTTTTTTTGTTCGTACGTGAAATGGATCCGTCGAGAAACAAAAGAGTGAGGTTGTGGAAACTAAAATGGCGGGGAAGAGACTAATCTTAAAAGGTCGGACATTTTTGATCGCTGTTTATTATTCATGTTACACAGGGGAAACGACCTCTAGAAATCTTGGCGGTAAATTTAAAACGTTTGAGCAAATTTCGAGGCGATAATCGTTCGACAAACAATCCCAAATTTGATAAATTCGGTTTCAAAAGAAACTATGTCTAGGGACTTTCTTCGTTCGAAATTTTTAGAGTACTATGGTTGATTCTTACCTTCCAGGCATAGTCTTTTTTGAAACAACCTGTACGTAAATAACAAAAATCCTGCAAATAATTTGATCGCTTTATTTCTGGTAGGTTTTTCGTCAATTTGGTCATGCTGAATTCAAGAATTGCGTTGTTAACAAAAATTTCTAACTTTCATAAGAAATTATTATATTTCTGTTTGATTTGCGACATCGAGTGAATCTGTGGTTTTCTCTAATTCAGCAATTCCAAATTCCTTTGTATTATTAAACATTCAACAAAGTTGTAGCTGTTGGCAATTAATGAAGTGTTTAAAACCATAATTCAATAAACAATTCCATCAGTCATGCTTTGGCAATTCCAAATTTCTTTGATATTCAAATAAACATACCTATGAAAACAAAAGAGATAAAAGTTATTCCATGCCGCAGCAACAGCATCGCAAAACGATATCATGAACAATTCCACTATTTATTTGCCGGCAATTCCATAGTCTCCCCACGTCACTGTCCAGATACAAATAACGAGAACACTTGTAACAATCGATTTATCAAAACCCGATCACAATGGTAAGCGCAAATGATACAATTCCATTCGCAATTCCATAATAAACTGTGCATAACCTTTCACAGACACTCGATCACGATTTTAAAACACCTAGTCGACAAATTAAATCCATCGATAATTGTCGTTACAGTAAATTACATTAGCAATTCCAGTAGTGGACTACGGCAGTTCCAACTCCTTGTCAATTTTGAACGATTCCGTGTAGATAAGATTGTATTACAGTGTGTGTAGGTTGTAGGATTAACTCAAATCGCAATTCTGTTCAGGTATAACAGTCTGCACTACCGCAATTCCATCAATTTTGAACGATTCTTCGTCGAACAGTGCAGAAAAGCTTCTTGATCAATGGCAATTCCATGAATTCCCTCAATTCTATGCAATTTCTTGAGGATCAGATAGTATTACAGTGTAAAAAAAATTATGCCCTCAAATATAATCGCAATTCCACGTTTGTGCTATGGCAATTCCACGGTTCTTATTAATTTTTCACAAAACAGATCATTCTACAATTCAATTCCAGTTTTACATTCGAATAATTCCATGTTACTATCAATTATCTCGCAATTTTTCATTGGAATATCATGCTACGCTTTGCAATTCCATGTTTCCTAGGTAAATTCACTTTCTTTTTCCTAGCAATTCCATGTTTTCATAGAGTTTTCCAACAATCTGTCATTAAATAGGTAATTTCACATAGCAATTCCATTATTTTACCCTAGCAATTCCACATTTTCTAATAATCCTGAAGGATTTCTCATTCAGTAAATCGTTTCACAGGTAAATTTTATTTGTTTTACCTAGAAGTTCCATGTTTTCATATAATTTTCCAACAAATTATCAATAAATAGATAATTTTACATAGCAATTCCATCATTTTACCCTAGCAATTCCACATTTTCTACTAATCCCGAACGATTTCTCATTAAGTAAATCGTTTCACAGGTAAATTCCATTTGTTCATCCTATCAATTCCACATTTTGACCTCAGTTTCCAACAATTTGTCCTCAAACAAATAATTTTACAAAACAATTCCATCATTTTACCCCTGCAATTCCACGTTTCCCACTAATCCTAAACTTCGTCGTTAAACAAATCCTTCTGCAGGCAAATTCTATTAATTTACGCCAGCAATTCCACGTTTTTCCGGTGAAAAATTCACAGTTGAAATCACAGCGTAAGTTCGATAATCCTCCGGTTCTCGAAGAAAGTTCTAAATCGCGAAGGAACTGGTTCGTCTCGATCGATGGGTGTCGTCGAACGCGTACCGACGCGTCTTCAGTTCACGGGTCATCGTCTCCTGTTGGCACCGCGATAAGAAGGCTCCGGTGCACTCGGGGACGAGGTCGAGGGTACCTCCTGGGTCATCAACACCAACGGTTGTCCAAACGGCCTGGTTCCGGACATCGATCCACCGCTGCCTCGTCCTGGTCAATGGAATTGCGATTCCCTCATAACCTTTTCTTTCACTCCGTCTCACTGTCTCGGCAAAAGCTCAAAATCTCTGGCTTGTTAGAGGGCTCCGTGTTACTTTGTTAGTCATTGCAACATACCGGAATCTCGTCGACGCTAATGGCGCCCTCTGCTCACCATTTTCCCGCCATTTTCGCCGCACTGAATCCTCTCGTTTCTTGCGGAATTGCGTGTTAGTCCGTGGCTCAGTTAGCTTTTTATTTTCGTGAAAATTCAATAAAAAATTCCCATTTGCTTAACAAGTTCGTGAAGCGACTATTAATTTCTTTCTCGTCACTCGTTAATTCGAACACTCGGGGTGTAGATATCGAAGAAATGAATTGATGGTTTTATGGTAGTTTTTTGGTAAGCAACTATGGTGTCTACGGTCGCACGAAGGAATACACTTCGGATCGTTGTTTCTTCGATCGTTTCACCAAAAGCCACTGTTTTCGGACACCGGGCGAGGGTGAGAAAGCTTCCGCGAAAAGTTCGGAAAAGCGGGGAAAAAGACCACGGTGACTACAAATTGCGTACCTTCGAGGGCTTCGTGTTCTTTCGAAGGCCCTTCAACGCGAAACAGGGTGACACAGTTTTTCAAACTTCCACTTTGCTTCATTTTTATCCATGAAAAAATGCTTGTAAATAAGATGAAAAAGAAAGGTTCTACGTTGTCGTCGAATAATTGCAGAAAATCAAAGGAATCTAATGAAACTAACCGTACAAGTTCGTCGTTGTAAAATGCATTCTAAAGTGCTCGCTACGATACTAGAAGGACAAAAAAAACCGCACGCTCGAATTGGATGATGATGGCCGCAAGAAGCGCGCAAAATGGCTGGGCGATCGTTAGATTCCGTTCAATTGATCCCGCGGGCTTCATGGTCGAGTAAAACGCGAAGATGGCACGTGTTCGGTGGAGGAATGAAGATGAAATAGGAGATTGGAAAGACGATATAAAGAAAGAAAGAAAAGAAGGTAGAATTACGAGTCATGTCCCTCGGGAAGAGCATTCTTCTCTTCTGATTAAAAGAATAAAACAGAGAATAGGGTTACGTGCCGCCTTGAAGCAGATCAAAGCGCGGAAAAACTATAAGCCTCGAATGACTGGAGTCTCTTTAGAAGATACATATTTCACTTCCTTTGCGAGCCATTCGTGTCGTATGATCGATACGAACATAACCTACAAAGGCACATATTTAACTTAGGTTTAATGAAAGGCAACCTTTACCGCTCATACGTTCTTTGTTAATAATTCTAATTGTATAATTGTAGTCTATCTACAGGTATACCTAACCTTAATATATTCTTTTCTTGTGGAACTATTTTTTCACTGAAAAGTAATTGGGTTTTGTATAGGAAAATCGGGAGGAGCAATAGGTTATGGGACTAGGGAGTATAGACTCATCTTCTATTCTAGCAAAAATGGGACTTCCTTCCCTAGGGATTCACTGGGAAATTTTTTATGGAATCTTCTTCGTTTGGGGATATGAAGAGCTGGGATTTCTCTTCATGAGGGAAAAGTTTGTGATGGAACTTCCTTCCCTAGGGATTCACTAGGGAATTTTTTCTAGCTAAACACCTATCTAGATAGAACCTTCTTATCTAGGGGAAAAATAGATGGAACCCTTTTCGTTTGGGGATATGAAGACTTGGGATTTCTCTCCATGGGGGAAAAGTGTGTGATGGAACTTCCCTAGGGACTCACTAGGGAATTTTTTCTAGCTAAATACTTATCTAGATGGAACCTTCTAATCTAGGGGAAAAAGAGATGGAACCCTCTCCGTTTGGGGATATGAAGAGCTGGAATTTCTCTCCATGGTGGAAAAGTGTGTGATGGGACTTCCCTAGGGATTCACTAGGGAATTTTTCTAGCTAAACACCTATCTAGATGGAACCTTCTTATCTAGGGGAAAAAGAGATGGAACCCTCTTCGTTTGGGGATATGAAGAGCTGGGATTTCTCTCCATAGGGGAAAAGTGTGATGGAACTTCCCTAGGGAATTTATGTACGATGGAAGCTTTTCCCATAGGGGAAATCTAGCGATGCAACGTTCCTCAAGAAGATTCCAATGAATTTTAGGCACTTGTGCAATTCCTTAAGAAACAATTACCTTCCCTAGGGAAGATTAAATAAATCCCTAGTAATTTTCCCTGGAAAGTACACTCTTCAGTAAACCTAACCTAGGTATTAGAATCTATCCAGCTCCCTAAAGAACAATAACCTTCCTTATGATATTCCTAGTAATTTTCCCTAGAAAGTACACCCGTAAACCTAACCTAACCTAATAACCCCACCATAACAACCCTTGAAAACAAATTTTTTCGTTAGCGAATTTCTACAAAGAATATCTGCTTCCAATACTCTCGTAAATGCAACGATTAAGAACCAATTTCACTCATTATTCAGCAATTTCTAAGAATCAAAGAGTACTCCAGTCGAGTCTGAATACTCGAGTTTATTAAGTAGATATACGGGAAACGTTATTCTGCTTCAAGGTTAAGAGGAACCGGTGCTGTGCCTTACCAGAGGTGGACGAGGAACAGGGGTGGGAGGAGGCCCTCGTTGACGAAGGTGCTGGAGGATGATCTGCTGTGGGAGGCGTAGGTGGTGAGTTTGTCGAGTTTCCACGGATCTCGCCTGCCTGCTTCAGCACCTGGTATATGGCGTCCACGTCTGTCCACACGGGATAGAGAGACAGCAATGCAAAAGTGTGTCTTCCCTGTCATTTCTTTTCTTATTCCTTTATTCTGCGTGCGCTCGAGACCGGTGGCTCGCAATGAACCACTGCTTCTCTCAACAACTAGCTTTATTACTTATTCATTTTTTGTTATAATCAAAATTTTCAACTTTTTGTTTGACAAGTTTTAAAGTAATAGCGTGAGGCACGTGAATCAGTACTACTCGAGGTGATTTTGTATTTTCTCACTTTTCTTTTTTAATTTAGTTCGTGTTACATTCGTTGAATGTAAAAATTTATGGACATTCAAATGATGTCATAATATATTAATTGTAAATGCAAATTAGAGGTATAATTGTCAGACTTTAGAGATACTTAAAGATTTGAATTAAAGAAATGTCAGAATAATGAATCGAAGGACCCTGGTTGTTCACAGAAGCAGCGCTTCAGGAACCATTTCCATTCTCGTATATCGACAATTTTCTCGGCACCGGTTGTTCAAAGTCACTGAATCGCGAGCAGAATCTCTTGAAACCCGGTTAAAGCGTGTTCAATTTTTGATTCGAAGGTATCGTACATTTTGGAACGAGCAAATTGCCATTGATCGATCAAAGGATGAGCTCAGTGTGACGTCAATCGAAGTAAATCACGTTGAAAGGATTAAAACCATGTGACGAGCCACCGTTAACAATAATTTAATTGCACCTGATGGAAACCGCCAATAATTTTCGACACATGCAATCCCCTTTGAGAGCGCAACCCGATTTACGACGATGCTTCGACGATTTACCGAATCAATTTCGATCTAGTCGCCACTCGACAATGATTTTACATGATGAGATTTTCTCGGAGAAATTGGAAATTATACTCAAGTTAGAATTTTAGAGAAAATAATTGTGTGGCGAATTGGACAGCTACGTTATTTTACCTCGCGTTATATTGCCACGTGTTTCATAATTAATTTTCGACACATGCAATCCCCTTTGAGAGCGCAACCCGATTTACGACGATGCTTCGACGATTTACCGAATCAATTTCGATCTAGTCGCCACTCGACAATGATTTTACATGATGAGATTTTCTCGGAGAAATTGGAAATTATACTCAAGTTAGAATTTTAGAGAAAATAATTGTGTGGCGAATTGGACAGCTACGTTACTTTACCTCGCGTTATATCGCCACGTGTTTCATAATTTATTACATTGTCATTTTTCGGAAATCAATGCTATTTGAATAAAATTCAAATTTAAGGATAAGAAAATTAATTGTGTGGCGCTTTGGACAGCTACGTTATTTTATCTCGCGTTATATCGCCACGTGTTTCATAATTTATTATTTTGTCATTTTTCAAAAATAATTGCTATTTGAATAAAGTTGAAATTTATGGATAAGAAAATTAATTGTGTGGCGCTTTGGACAGCTACGTTATTTTACCTCGCGTTATATTGCCACGTGTTTCATAATTAATTATTTTGTCATTTTTCAAAAATAATTGCTATTTGAATAAAGTTGAAATTTAAGGATAAGAAAATTAATTGTGTGGCGATTTCGACAATTATGTTATTTTACCTCGCGTTATATTGCCACGTGTTTCATAATTTATTATTTTGTTATTTTTCAAAAATAATTGCTATTTGAATAAAGTTGAAATTTATGGATAAGAAAATTAATTGTGTGGCGCTTTGGACAGCTACGTTATTTTACCTCGCGTTATATTGCCACGTGTTTCATAATTTATTATTTTGTCATTTTTCAAAAATAATTGCTATTTGAATAAAATTAAAAATTAAGGATAAGAAAATTAATCATATGACGCTATGGACTGCTACATTACTTTACCTCGCGTTATATCACCACCCATTAAATAATTTAAAATATTTTCAGCTTTATAACTTCTTTACCTTTACAAGTCTATATATGGCAATATAACGAGAGTCTTCTTCACTGATACTTTAATATATTATCAGCTTTATAAATTCTGTAGCTCTAGAACCCTGTATATGGCAATATAACGAGAGACTACTGTACTGATACATTAGTCGAGCAATTAGAGTCTAAAATCGACTCGTATTTAATTTGTCAATTATTTTAAAGTATTTAAAAATATTTAAACTGCGGTTCAGTGACTCTGAACAGAAACCATAACGGCATAGAACCACACAGAACACTGAGTGCACCACAGATAAGATAAGAGATAGGATCTCCTCCTGTCTTGTTTTGCTCAGGCGATCGAGAGACGCGAGAAGAGAAAGTTGAAGCGAATGATCCGAGATTCGATTAATTCGATCTGTGCATCGATGATCGTGATAGGGAGAGCCGATTGATATGAAAAGATGAGGAGCAGAGAAAACAACGTGCAAAAGCTGATCCTCCGACGGTTCGTTCCTTTCGCTAAAATGGCCGATCGATGTTCCTTTAGACGAAACTCATCTCTTATATTTCTAATGAAAATTTTAAGGATTTACGGATATAGAAATTTAGAGAACTGCAAATTTACAGACACAGTGATTTAGAATCATACTTAAAAACATCGGATAATATTAAATAAAAATTCAGGATCAAAATTTTAATATAAAATTCCCAACTCGCAATCGATTCAAATCTCATCCCTTCCAAACTTTCTCAATATTCCATTCTCCCAGAAGAAAGGAAACTCCATCGATCAATAGCTTCTTATAATAGCCCCCCTTCGAAATTAACAAGGAACAGATTAGTTTCATCCGCGAGAACATCGATCGTTCGCCACGGCAAAGAGGGTGAGAAAAAGAGAGAAAAAGTAGGGGTGTTCCGCGTGAAATAGAAGCGAGAAAAACCATAGAGATAGCATCGTCGAGACAGTTTCCAAATTGGTTCGTACTTACTGTGCTCGGCCGGTGTCTCATCCACCTGGGCCTGGGTCTTTTGCCGTCGAAGAAGAGGTATTCCGCCGCTTTTCTTCGGCGCGAGACTCGGACACATGGCGGGTTGGACCAGATTGATGCAATCGGTGTGAGCGTTCGCTTTGCAGCCGCGACATCTCACACCTTGGCGGCTGTGACCTCTCAGTACTTGGCCACAGGCGTCGCACGGAGTGATCTTCCGGTACGTGTACTCGCGCCATGAGTGCCCTCCCTCGGATTCTAGACTTTTTCTGGATAGAACCATTTTTATTACAACTTGAACATTTTGGAAGGCACGACAATTTTGTCTTTTTTAGTCCTTAAAAAATTTTGCAATATTTTAGAGTTTATTTCTATAGCAGAATTCTTTCAAAATGTAGTGAGTTACTTATGAAGTTTTAATAGTTTATAGTTGTATTTTTAGTGTACATGTGAAACATGCACTTTTCTGAATTGCATCGTTACTAATGAAGTATGTATTGAAATCTTGTTATGTTTTTTTACTTTTACAAACCCTTTGCGCTCTGAGCTGACTCTCAGTCACCATTTTATTTAATACGATAATGTGAAACAAGGATTTTTTAACTGATTCTATAATGTGACACATGTGACGTATAAACATAGTGAAATTATTAGTAGGGAAATAATAACCTCAACAGAATTCATTTAACTTTTTAACTAAGTTTTAAAGTTGCTGTTTGTAATCAATAAAATTATCTTCGAGTGCAAAGGGGTAAGGATTGAGAGAGTAACTGCTATTAGTCTTGCTAGTAGCGTGGCGGTTGACTCCGCCTGTCGCCGCTAGACGGCGCATGGGACCGAGGTAGGCTTTCTCGCAAGTGCTCAGTGAGCCCTACGCTTTATATAAGTACCTCTGAATCGCTATCATGTGTTTGCGTCCAGGGGGCCGTCTACACTATGCAAGTAGGTACAAGTTATGCTCTCTTAGACCGCCAGTAGCTAAATTACCATATTCCCAAATTCGTAAATTCTGAAATTCCTATGTCCCCGAATACCTACATCCACAAATCTCTAGATTCCCAAGTAGCTAAATTCCCAAATTCCTAAATCTTGACATCCTTACGTCCCTAAATCCCTATATCTCCAATTTCCTATATTCCCGAATCCCTACACCCCCCAATTCCTAAATCTTGAAATTCCCTACATCCCTAATTTCCTACATTTCCAAATCCCTAGACCCCCAAATTCCTAAATCTTGAAATCCCCTACATCTCAAATTTCCTACATTCCCAAATCCCTATATCCCCAAATCCCTAGACCCCCAAATTCCTAAATCCTGAAATCCCCTACATCTCTAATTTCCTACATTCCCAAATCCCTAGATCCCCAAATTCCTAAATCTTGAAATCCCTAAGTTCCTAAATCCCTACATCCTCAAATCCCCACAGCCCCAAATCTCTGAACCCCAAAATACCTTAATTCCCAAGCACCTACATCCTGAAATCCCTACACCTATCTCCCTAAAATCCCAATCCCTAAATTTCTCAATCCCCAGACCATTAAATCCCCAACTGATTCGTCATTACACTTGCTTTAAAGCAAGTTAATTTGTTCGACGACCGCTAAGAGCATCCCACATTAATTCGATGCAATGCTTTTAACAAAATGGCTCCTTAACTGTGTTTATGAAGGACTCTACCCACTTCCAGACTATTTTTCTGGTTTCTCAGATGCTTCTTACTCTCACCAAACGTAATTGATATACTTAAAACGCCTGCTGTTGAAATAACTCTGGGAGCTTTTATAATGTTCCTTATGAAGTATAACATCTCTTGTACAAGTAAAAGCATTTTCCACCTTCTTAAGCATAATGACGGTGTTTACAAAGTTAACTTTGAAATTTCAATTTCCTTAATGTGGAAACATAATTAAGTACAGTTATCTTGTTAGCAAAGAGTCAAACCATTTTTAAATAATTATTAACATTAAAAATTGTAACACTCGATGCTGCACAAGTTAGTAACTCAACAATAAAATAAATACGAACGGTTATGGAAAAAGCCTGTTAAAATGTTAAAATCTTACCTGGACATGGCGACCACCGTAGAGACAGCATGGTACATCGCCTGTTTCCCTCTGTGTTAGTGTAGCATTCACAAAACAACATTTCTCGTTATTCAAATCAAACAAAACACTATACACTCTGTGAACAACAAAAATGAAATTGAACATAAAAGAAAGAGCCATTGGAAATCAAGTATCCATTCCTATCAAGTATCAATTACTGACTTGTCAGTTGTTGGCGGCGTTGTGGGAGAACTGGTCTTCAAGCTCTTGAACGCTTTCAACCATTTGTGCTTGGTACTTCCGGTCGAGCCATTCGACATCTTCCGGCTGCTCACCCCATCCGGTTGACCGGCTTCTCCTCCTCCGAACAGCTCCTTCTGCAAATCGAAACGCCACGTGAAATATCTGAGGCAACGGGGTGGAAAATTCAAGCCTTCCAGCGAATTCTATTTCTTAAATGAGGAATGTGTGGCGTTGTTTAACTGTTTGGGTAATTGCGAATTTGAGGACGTGGAAATTTGGGGAGATGGGGAGATGGGAATTGAGGGATTTCAGAATTTGGGGGTTTTGGGAATTTGGGGACGTGGGAATTGGAAATTTGAGAGTTGGGGGTTTTGGGAATTTGGGGACGTGGGAATTTGGAAACTTGAGAATTTGGGGGGATGGGAATTTGGAAATTTGAGAATTTGGGGACGTGGAAATTTGGAAACTTGAGAATTTGGAAATGTGGAAATTTGGGGGGATGGAAATTTGGAAACTTGGGAATTTGGGAACGTAGAAATTTGGGGGAATGGGAATTTGGAAACTTGGGAATTTGGGGACGCGGGAATTTAGGGGGATGGGAATTTGGAAACTTGGAAATTTGGGGACGTGGAAATTTGGGGGGATGGGAATTTGGAAATTTGAGAATTTGGGGACGTGGAAATTTGGAAACTTGAGAATTTGGAAATGTGGAAATTTGGGGGGATGGAAATTTGGAAACTTGGGAATTTGGGAACGTAGAAATTTGGGGGGATGGGAATTTGGAAATTTGAGAATTTGGGGACGTGGAAATTTGGAAACTTGAGAATTTTGAAACGTGGAAATTTGGAGAGATGGGAATTTGGAAATTTGAGAATTTGGGGACGTGGAAATTTGGAAACTTGAGAATTTGGAAACGTGGAAATTTG